CTCCAGAAAAAACAAACTTCTGTGTATCATCATTGAAAGATGACATTGGAGACATACGGGAGTTAGGCATGAGCTTACTCTTCCTCGGAAGGCACTATAGGATATTTGAGACAACGTGCTCGTTGTCAGTGCTGACCATCAGGACTGCTCTGTGATTTCATTATGAGCCAAGAAGCACATGCTGCAATTCCTGTCCTGCTTCCTGCAGTAGAAGCATGGGATGCATTATCTGTGGTTTTCAGAATGTCATTAATTGCAGATTTGGTGGCTCACATGGCAGAAATAGAACAGCACTACCAAGGCTTCTGTGTTTACATCAGAGGTTGGCTCTCAGTTTGTTCTCCTCTGCTGCTGAGCTCGTTTCCTGCCTGTTTGCAGCTCTGGGCCCCTCTCCCATGCCTTAAGCCAGCATACCAGGTACACAGCTGCTGGCCTGCTCCCCCAGCCTCCTGCAGCTGCTCCGGCACCAGGGTCCCAGAGCAGGAAGGATGCTGCAGGCCTGTGGTGCTGTTTGTACTGTGCTTTTCAAGACATGTGTTGCTCTGCATAAAGTTGCTACCTACGCTTGGTCTCAAATGGCAACCAAATCCTTTTCACGGAGTCTTGAGGACTCTGCCTGGGGCTTTTGGTCTGGAAAGTGGCAGAGATGATGTCAAAGGGATTGAGTGAGGTCACTGACTATGGGGGCCGTGCACACAGCAGGTGAGTGCCACCCTGGGTTAAGTGGTATGCCTGTGTCGTCCCTCCCGGTACCCAGTGTGTGGGCTCCCCTGTGTGCAGGGTGAAGCAATCTTAGAAGTTTGTGGTATTTGGCAATAGGGTTTGTGGTAAAAAAAAGGAGCCAGGGGGACTCCAGTTTACCTCAAGCCCTATAAACATAGATGTTTATAGCATTTAAATCACTTGAAATAATAGCTAATTGTCCAAGCATGGTGTGGGTAACAAGACAGAGAGCAAAGTTTTCCTGGGAGGAGTTTGTGCATGTTTTCCATTAGCAGTCAGACAAGGGCCAGGGCAGAGAAAAAGGCATGAGAACAGCCTTTCACCATGACCTCACTAACAAATTTCCCAGCTCTGAGCTCAGTTCTGTTGCATGACTGAACAAGTGGAGAAAACACAACTGGTTCCAGGATACTGTTTGCTTTACCAGTATCTTATTTTTATTTTATAGCAAGTGGAATAAGGGCTCTTGGGTTGTAAAAGCCCCAGATGGAAATATAGGCTAGACACATATTTATGGTCTGTGGGCAGAGACAACAGCCTTGGGGCATGTTATAGCTGCTGTATGGATGCTTCATATGCGGTCAGTGGGTCCCACGCACTCCAGATGCATCCAGCTTGTGGTGCATTTGTATCAGGGTTAATGAATGATGGGAGTGCTGGGCTCTGTCTGCAGAGTCAGCTGGCGTGTGTGTGTCTGTTTGTTCAGGCGTTTCCAGGGTCTGGAGATCCTACATCAGTCTCTGGCTTTTTTTTTTTTCCCTTTCTTTCTGCCTCATCAAATCTTCCAAACAGAAAGAAGACAGGCAGGAGAGAAGCCCCCACAAAGTGAAGAAACTTGGGTGCGGTTCTGTGACCCTTCTCTACACAAATCCTGATTCCTGGATGAGAAAGGAGCTTGAATGGGGCATCCTAGCCTACAGTCTCTTGCTTCTTCTGTGACGTCTGGGGTTTCCTGAGGTGTAACCTCTGACAAAAGCGGTCTGAGGTATTCCCTGCTGCTCACCTAACTGTGCTGGCAAAGCAGAGAAGGCCCTGTGTTGTGGTGTGGGAGAGGAAATGAGATGCAGGGGAGGGTGAGAGCACCTTAAACCAGTGTCGACACCACAGACTTTACCTTGCAAAACCAGGGTGTTCCTCATGCACGTATGTGCCGTGGTTGATGACAGCAGTCAGTTAGTGAGTGCTGAAAGGGACTGAAAGGAGGGACTGGGACCTGCACTCCTCCTGGCTGCTTGGGCAGCCAGTGCCTCATTCTGGTTTGCATGGGTGTGGGATTGGAAGCAGTGTCTCGGACCATGGGATCATTGACTATGACTAACTGAAAACCACAAAAGCATCTGTTAACTCTTAAAAACAGAGACTTGCAGAATTAAGATAAATGACAGCCTTAGAAACTTTGTGGCATTGCAGAAGAAATTACAGGTTTCAATATATATATATAGCCAGGCATGTGGTTTCTGTGTGTTTGGGCTGTAGATGTATGAAAAGGAAGGCTTTGACCTGGCCAAACTGAATTCCCTACATGGGGAATTCGTTTAAGGTCAGCAGCTTTATACTCCAAAGCTGTTCATCTGCAATCATTAAGCACATATATAGGAAGCTGTCCAGGCAGATGTATCACTTACTCTCCTTCCTACGCTGTCTGCTTTTTGGTTTTGATATTACTAAAAGCTTCAGTAAGAAGTGGTTTTTATCGTGTCAGATGTTACAAGTTGTCTGTGCCAGTTTCCAAGTTGGAGTGTGGGTTTGCATGGCTGGTGTCATTCCAAGAACTGGAAGGAGGAAATATACCAGGGCTGGAAATTCCTGGTGAATGCAAGAAGCTGTGAAACCTCCCACGGGGTGATCTGTGACAGTGCAACAGGCTGACAGCCTTGTCTGACTTCTTGGTGTAGCATAAAAAGGCCGTGTGGAGCTGCAGATGCTTTCCCTGATTACTAATGAGAGAAAGTCCTAAGCGCTTGGCTGGTTTTCCTCACAGGATGAATGCTCAGGGTTGTTGGCAAAGTGGGTTTTTTGGTTTTTGGTTTTTTTTTAATTATTATTATTATTATTTATTTTATTATTTTTCTTTTTCTCCCCCTCTGATCCAAATATCTTCATTTATTTGAAAGTATCCCTTTTCTTGGTAAAATGCTAATTTCAACAGTAAATGCTTATCTGGGAAAGGGTCCAAGGTCGAGGGCAGATTTGACACAGAGCAGTTGAATGCCGAATCCTGTGTGGGTCGATGATGAGATGTTCACCTGCAAGGTGGGAGGCACAGTCGGGTAGTCTCTGCTCTAACTATATCAGTATTTGTTCAGAGTGAATCATGACCAGCAGGTGAAGTGGAGGCACCCCACAGTAGCTGGCACCAGGGTGGCTGGCCCTGTTTTCTGTGATGTGGGCTACAGCAGGGCAGCAGCATGTTTCTAACATCCATAGGTGGGTGTCTGAGCCATGGGGCCATTGGCAGCTTTTCTTTTTTTCTTTTTTTTTTTTTTAAAGGGAAGATGAAACCACTTGTATTAAAAGGTTTGAATGTCATTCAGATGTGAGATGGGAACATATTTGTGGAGGGGTGAAGCAGATCCACTCAGACCTGGTCACACCCAGTAGTTAGGAAGATGAAAGGTGCTGGTCTGCAATTCAGGTCTGTAATGTGAAGCACAACCCAACTAATATGCAGTCTGTGGACTCATGCAGATGAGTTTTTTCTCATTTACAGCCTTTCAGAGAATTTCCATACAAAGCTACTCGACTGCAGTGTAACCATTCAAAGCAAAACACACGCTGCCTTCATTATATGCCTGCAGGTATACATTGCTCTGCTATTAGAAGGGACAGTGAGTTGTACTGGGGCAAAGTGATAGTGATGCTGAAAAAACAGGCAAAATTAAGGACTTGTTGAGCAATAGAAGGGCTTATACAAACAGGCTACTTTTGTGGGTCAACCATCAAGTAAACCCAGTTGCTTTGGAAACAATCTCTGTTTTATTTAGAGCTGTAACTGGAGGAGAGCTGACAGCTTCAAAGTCACACTTTTGTCTGGAAAGTTTGTATGGGATCACATCTCGTTGGTAGCAAACAACACAGACTGATGCAGACAAACTGTGGATGTTCCCACGCTGTGCATATTTATGGTTCTTCATGTACATTTGTCTTTTAAATAGGGAGATAGAGATGTACTTAATTTAACACAATTTTAGTATATTGAAGTGCTTTCTCACAGACTGCTTTGCAGATTTGCAGTTTTGATGGTTTTGATTTATTGGGTCTATTCCTGCTCCAGCTTTTTGTTTGTTTGTTTGTTTGTTTGTTTGGTGTGGCTTGCTAAATTTAATAATTTCTCTCAGGTATTTCATTTTCATATGTGTGTCCTGCTCCTTGGAAAAGATGCACAAATGTAGAGGCTAAATGATGGTTGAGTTAGAAAAAGTATGTTGCAAATATCAGAAATAAAAGGGCTGCTAGAGGAACGTGAGATTTTGAGGTTTAGTTCTCCTCGTATTCCCTGTACATGAGAAACCTGTGCTATGTTTCTCTCAGTCTGCTAGAGGAGGGGGAAGTTACAGATGTCCTGCAGGTTATACATACAAAATACAGTATTATAGTTGAAGATCACCATACTGAGCAATTCAAAATTGCATTGTAATCCATCATTCTGGACACTGGACAGTAAAATTCCCATTTTAATTCTTTCAGCAGCACTGTGGTAATTCAGTGATTATATGAAAAAAAAGAAATCCAAACAGTGGTCTTGCACTTGAAGAACATGATACTGAGAAATTTTCCTTGGGGCGCTCACTGGGGCTTACAGTCAGAGAAATACAAAACTGCCCTCAAAGCCTTTTGTTTAGCTTGTGTTTATTATTTTCCTCTTATCTGTGGGTTGTATTTTTTTTTTGTTTTCTTGGGTTTTCTTTTACTTTCTATTGACAGGAAGAAAAAGGATGAATAATGGTTCTTGGAAGCAGAAAACAGGCTGTTTGATTATCATTGCTGGGAATGCTGTGTAGCAAAACTGTGGGTGAGGGAGTAGGTGGTTCTACTTCTGCTTGTCTTGCAATTCCTAAATATGATCACAAACAGCTGAGTTTGTGTCAGGCTTGCAACTCTGCTCGTAACTACACCCACCTCAGTTTGAGGTGCACTCTTTATCATCTCTTGGTTTAAAAGACATTTCTGGGAGGCATATTTGAGGTTATTCACATCTTGAGTGGCTGCTTTTGGCTGCTGAAATGTGTGTAAGTGTGCTTTTGTCTATGCTTATGATCTATTTGCCTTGTTTCTAGGGCTCATCACAATAAAAGAAGCCCATGATATAGAAGCCAGACTTAATGAAGTGGAAAAGCTTCTGAAGACTATTATAAACATGCCCTGGAAGGTGAGCGAGCCAAATTCCAGTTTAGCCCAGCTTGACTCCTCCTTATGGTGACATGCACTCTCATGCAGATTAGAAAGTGGTGGGCTTTGCCAAACTCTGAAAGAAACAGCAATTTATTGAGTATCTTGGAGAAATGCTGAGGGCCAGAACTGTGTACGATGCCTCCAAGCTGTTGCCTGTGATAAGTCTTTCTGTCATACTACAAAGGGGGGGTGGAGAGGGAGAAGGGGAATAAAGCAAACCACTGGTAAAAAATTGTCTGTTATTTTTCTCTCTCTTTTTAAGTATTCAAGGTCTGAAGTTGTCCTCACATTCTTTGAGAGATCTCCTTTGGACCAAGTTCTGAAAAATGACAATGTCCATAAAATTCAGCCAAATTTTCAAAGTCCAGTTAAAATATCAGGTAAGAGTTGTTAGCTTCCTGCAGTTGACACAAGAATTACAGAATGAAAATTACTTTATTTGCTGTTCCCCTTATTCTTTCTCTATCAGCAATTCTAAAGATAGTTCTCAGTAGTCTGCTTTATGATATAGAACATATAATTAGCCTTGAGATACTATGCAACGTGTTCAGGTGATAGAGTGGCAGGTGAAATGGAGGCTGATGAATGCAAATAAGCGGATGTGAGGAAAATGCAGTCCTTACTGCATATTGTCACTTATGATAGTGCTTTTACCACTTAAAAAGAAGATTTTGAGGCTATTGATACAGTTCTATGAAAATGTAAGCTTAGTGCCAAGCGATGAACAAAGCCAGCAGTGAGAATTCTGGATATTATTAGGAAAGGAGGCAAAAACAGAGGAGAGGAGCACAACCCCATCCTGAAAACACTGTGCACGATTTCGGTCTCTCCATCTCAGAAAGTATATAATAGAATTTAAAATTACACAAATAAAGGACAAGGACTCAAGCTGTTGAACAGCTTCTCTAAGAAAGAGGTTAAATAAAGAAAAACACTTCACCTATGAGAAGAGGCAAGAGTGGGGGTGTGATGGAAATCTACAGAGCTGTGAATAGAAGGAGGTCAGTACCCTGTACTTCTCTTGAAACAAGAGCTATAGGTTCTCCAATATCATTGACAGACAACAGGCTTTAAGCAAACAAAAGAAAGGTTATAATATTGTTTTGTTTTCATACGGAACATAGTTGATGAGTGCAAGTCATTGTCATAGGATATGGTGGAACTGAAAGCATAAGTGACTTCAAAAAGGAATTAGACAAGCAGGTGGAGGAAAAGTACACTGAAACCTGTCACAGGTGGAGACACAGGAAGTTCCTAAACCACAGATTGCTAGTGGGGATTGTGGAGAGCAGTATTACTCTATCCTTGCCTATTCTTTTAACCTTTTCCCTCTTCATCTGCTACTTACCATTGTTAAAGGGTTTGCAAACTTCTGGTGTGCCTGGTTTTGTGTTTCCATACTGAAACATTTTGTTTGCGCCTAATGTCAACTGCTGGGTTTGTGTCACAAGAAGAGCTTATTCGGAGAGCTAGTTGAAGTGAAATACTACACAGTCCTCCAAAACGCATAAACCATTTAGCAAGAAACTGATATCAGTTTTCTTTGGTGCTAATGATGTCTCTGTTAATGGCCAGTCAACATGCTAAAAGGAGTAAACAGTGTGCCTTCAAGGTTGTTCTTATACACAGGGTAAACTATTTCTAATTGATCCTTAGCTCTGGTTCTAAGTGAATTAGTCCTCTGTTAAATAAATATCTTTTTAATTAAATGGAAGATGGTTTAGAAGCCCATTAATAACTCTTTAGAAGAATAGTGTGTAATACAGAGACTCAGTGAGAAGTGCGATCTTGCCAGCCAGTTTGGTCTCGTGCCTTCTCGCTGAGCCACCCAAGCCCAGCCTGTGGGGCAGCTCAGGGATTGTAAAGAGCAACCCCAGGGACATACTGCAAAGTGGGGTGATGCAAGTCTGGCTTCCCGGGAGCAAGAAATGGGAGCCAACATACTTATCTCGCTCCCCACTTGTGGCTAGGGAGGTTTGGATGATGCCTTGAATTGATGTAGAAACCTGACATAAAATTCCTCATGTGTATGTTTTTCCAAAGGCTGACCACAGTTACTCTCTTTGCTCCTGAACGTCAGGTCATGTTCTCAGCACTGACCCTTGAGAGCGTATTAATGGGTTTTGTCTGAAGTATGTTGCTACTCTGTGAGACCCGAGCTGCAAAGTAGGTCCTAGATCCTGCCCATTATGAAGTGAAGGAACGCCAAACTAAATGCTATAAAAATGTTCCAGAGGGTGGCTGCTGTCAATAATACCTTGCTGTTGTTGCAAACAGCAAATATCAAGAATAAATGTATTTGGAATTACATAGGTTAGAGGCTGAAGCATTTCTCTGGTTTGAGCTTTTTGCTGTTTGGAAGGGTTTCATATACCTCTTGGGAAGGCACGCACCCCCTCAGGGCACATGTACTCTGTGTGTGCATGACTGAATATGGCACATGGTGGGTACAACACAGAGAAGACAGTCAAGATGAAGCTAAATTCAGAGCAAGGGTGCCTGTCAGATAGACAGAGACTAGCAGCAAAGGGAGCCCTCCTACAGTTCCTGTATATAGAGGAGCTATGGAAACCATGTTATCTGAATAATAGAAGGTTTTGTCATACCTAATTAATTAGAGGAAAATTCTCCTACCCGTGTAGCTATCCAAAAGCATCTTGTGTTTATTAGTTTTATCATTGGAATGATTGCTGCAAAGGATGTAAGAATATAGGTGGAAGTTTGCTGTTAATTGGTATTTACCTCATCTGTGTGTTGCACACTGGGAATGTTTCAGTGTCTGGCAGCATTGTCAGTAGATGGCAGTAAATGATAATGTGTAAAGCAGTGAAATGCTGTAACTTAGGTCATGTCAAGGACACTAGGAAAACACTGGCATTTGTGTTAATCATAGTGCAGCAGCTTTCTATGTGGCTTGCAGTCTTAGAAAAGCAGGCAAAAATATATTCTCTGAAAAAACCAAATTGTCCCCCACATGGTCCTTCTCACAGTGGTAGGTGATGGGAAAGAGAGAAAGGGCTGCCCTTTTAGACTCTTAGATGAAAGCTGAATTTGAATTTATGGTGTAAATCTTATTCTGCAGTACAATGTTTGCTGAAGATAAGTAATGTGAAGTGTGATTCTGCTGGGACTCACTGTTTTTACAACCCCCAAACATATTCTGCTGAAGTGGGTTGCAGTAAAATACAGACTGAAAGTCAAAGATGACTCTCAAGAAAAATATGGAAGTGAGTTCTAACTTTACCTTAGGACCATGTAAATGTTAAAAAATTACCTTCTTTCTCCTATCTCATCTCCTGTTCATTACTTGAACTGTATATATAGTAGAAATTTGTTTGTGTATTTTCTGCCTACCATATTTTCTGCCACAGGCTAATTTCCTCTTGTTGTGCTCAGAATGAAAGGCTGTAACGCAGGGCCATTGTACCTTGAGGCAGATCAAGGGTTATCCTACTTAAGTCAGTGCTGATTTTTTAAAATATGTATATTTGTTTTGTGACGTTTCTAGCTTAATCTAAGACTGTGTGGCCAAAAGAAATCCTTGTGACTTGCCTAGTTTGACTTTCTGTACAGCAGAGATGTGGATTAACTTCTCATTCACATCAAATACTATTCTAATTATAAATTCTCCCCATGGTAGTAAGTTGGTGGAATTAGGTGTAAATTTTAGATATTCTGTATTGGAGGCTTCTTAAACACTGAGAAAAATAAGCATGGTTAAGGACAGCGTAAAACATGGTATTGCTTTACATGACTTAAAATTGGTGGGTGAATTAACTTGGAAAGCCACTTTTTATTTCTCTTTTTCTGTCTTTTTATTTTTCCTTAACTGGCTTAAGCCTGGGACTGACAAGGAAAAATACAATTGTGTTTTGGTAGTGCTAGTTGTTTCAGATACTCTGTGTCATGAATTGATTAGGTGAATAAAATTGCTTGAACACTGGCAGTTTGCAGATGTAAGAAGCTACAAAACCAACTCTTCATTCCTGCTTTCATGTGCAGATTTTCAGTGTCATGCACACGTCTCAGTTCATAGCCATGTCAGTTACATACCATATGCAGTTGTTTTTCAGCTTTTTTTTTTCATCTTGTTTTCTTTCTTCTCCCAACAGAAATCATGCGATCAAATGGATTTTGTTTAGCCAACACTGAAACAATAGTCATTGACCACAGTATACCTAATGGAAAAGAGAAGCACCTGGATGTAGATTCAGCAGAACATTTGTAAGTGGGGTTTGAGCATGACCAGTGCCATCACCTTCGGGTAAACTGTAGCTTTCTCTACCCCTTAGGGTAGGGAAAGCTACAGTTGTCTGTCTAAGAGCAAGACTGGTAGAGCTGTCATTCTGACTGGCTAAAGATTACTGCGCCTGATTGCTAACACTTCACAGCGATTTCTTGTTAAAAGGGATAAAATGGCAGAATGATTGATGCCAAGGAGCTCAGTCCTCTGTATGAAAAAAGAGCTGTGGTTGTCATAGGGATCCTACCAGGTGAGAATAGACTTTTTTCTTTCTCTCATGACTGTGATGAGAGCTTCTTTGAGCCCAAATCTGAAAACACAAACATCCTTACAGATGGTATATCCTATTAGGGTAGAAGGATGTTTGGGATGCAAAACACCATCCTCAGAGGGGAAGACACTACTGAACGTAATTGAACAAAGGTCAGCTGGGACTTGGTGGAGCATGTGTACTTCATTAGGGAAAAGGGAATTTGGAGTTTTATTGGTAAATTCTGCTCCTAATGCATGGAGGTATTCTGGGCTCAGAGACCTGTAACCAGTAGGGCTTTTATGGCCATAAACCAAAGCACAAGAAGTTCAACCTCAACGTGAAGAAGAACTTACATTGAGGAGAGCAGAGCACCAGAACAAGCTGCCTAAGGAGGTCGAGGATTCTACCTCTCTAGAGACATTCCAAACCCCCCTAGACGCATTCCTGTGTCACCTGCCCTCGGTGACCCCACCTTGGTAGAGGGGTTGACCTAGATGATCTCCAGAGGTACCTGCCAACCCTAACGATTCTGTGATTCATGTAGGTCTTAAGTCAGTGACTTAATGGGTATTGATGGAAATCTGCACAGATTTCTGTCATAGCAGGTAATTGATGTTTCAAATGAACTTCAGGTAGTGAAGCATTTAAATATTTTTGATGAGAAACATTACGTGCTTTTTCATTAGACCAGTCAAAATGATGGAAACAGAATACTAAAAGCCTTATGGATCCTTTATCTTTGAAAGCAGTGATCTGTCTTGCCACATTTGAAGTGTGGTAATTGACAGTCTGTAGCAAGATTCAGAGCTTGACAAGATTTTTTCAGAAGCTGGAGTGTATCTCTGGCTACAGTGTCACTTCTGGAAGTATTTTTACTAACTTATCACTTAGTGTTTTGAACCTTGACCTTGTTAACAGCATTTAAGCTTATAAGCTTGTATTAATGAGGCTGAAATGGCACACTAGAGGTAATTTTGTAAGGCCATTGTCTGGAAATTAAAGTTGATATACTTCTCAGTGGTCTCAGTGGATCACTCTTTAATACTGAGAGTGAGAAATAATAAGAGCAAATTACCAAAGGAAGCCTTTTCCTTTCTTATTTGGATTATTTGAAAAATTTTGATTAAAAAATGCTTATAAACTAGTTTTGTTTTGAAAAATGTGCTGTAGCCCAAGCAAAACTTGCTGACCTGAGATCAGAAACTGCCATCATCTAACTGTCATCCCATTGAAGTCAAGAGACTGTTAAGGCCAGAAAATACTAATATGATAAAAAGTATGTTGTGGGCATGGTTTCCCAGAAACTGTGGTGGAAGCAATAAATCTAGGGTAACAGCCTGACTTTATGCATTTGTGGTTTAACTTCCCGAAGGATGTGAAGTCAAAAGGCAAGAAGTTAGTAAATTTCTAATGTGTGTTTTATGTGGTGGTCTAAATTTTCCCATTCTATAGCTGTATTTTATAGTCAAGAGGTAATAGCAAGGAGATAATGGCACCAGTGTAGCCCAGCTGTTTTGTAAGAAATTGAACATTTTTTTTTAAAAGCAGAAATTTTCTATAGTAATAGGACAAGGCGAAATGGCCTTAAGCTGAAGGAGGGTGGGTTTAGATTAGATATTAGGAAGAAATTCTTTACTATAAGGGTGGTGAGGCACTGCAACAGTTTGCCCAGCTTGTGGACTCCCCATCTGTGGAGGCATTCAGGACCAGACTGGATGGGGCTCTGTGTAACCTGGTCTAGTGGAAGGTATCCCTGCCCATGGGAGGCAGCTTTCCAGGCATTCTTCCTCTAATGGATTAACAGAGATTAAAATGGTAAAGAAGTGTGTCTTACAGCACAAGAAGTAGGCTCTTGTGAAAGACAATGTGTGTGTCAAGGTACTTTGTGGAAAAAATAGCAAGGGCAGGAGTTTGGGCATTTAGGAATCTGCAGGTCCATAGTAGCTTGCAGAGTTTATTTTGAGAAAAAGACCTGTTGGTAACAGCACAAAAGCATTTTGACTGTTGAGTGGCCTATAAACTGCTAACTGTAGTAAACAGTCCTGATTCATTGGGTTTGGTTTTGTATGAGCACTCTAGAGTGGTGCTTTGCAGACTTCTGTGCGCACACTTCCTTTTTGGCGGCAAGGAAAGCTTTCTGCTTAACCACAGCATCTGAATGCCACTGCTTTGCACCTCACATTCTGGTGGTAGTAACCTATCAGTGATTCTGAAGAACCACAAAATCTGTGGGACCTTTCAGTTGTAATAATCTAGTTTTATACCATTGACAAGAGAAAGAGAGCAGAATCTGAGTAGCCTTCTTGACTCCTCTTACACTTTCTTCGTTCTATCTGCCCCACTGGTATTTCATAATCTGTTGTTTCTGGATCACTAGCAGTGCATAAGATAGCACAACGTGATCTGTGAAGTATTTGCAAGATACCAAGTCAACTTCCTTCTGCACATGTTCCCACACATGCCCAGAAGCAAATAGCGTGGAGGGAGTGGAGGAATGAGGGTAATAAACATTCAAAGTTCAGTCTCATTTCTATTTCATTTAAAGCAAAGAGCATAGCAACAGCACTGCAGGAGAAAAATCTACGAATTTCTGCTCAAAAAAATGTTGTGGTTCTCATAGTTAAAAAAAAAGAGATGAGAAGGACCAGTAAGGAGTATGGAAAAGACAGAACTATGGCCATACATTGCAGAATGTGTAGACCAGGCTATCCAATAACTTATGATGCTTCTAAATAAAGTTTCAGGAAGAGATGGGAGTGGGAGATATATCTGTTTATTTATCCTACCACTCTTCTTCAGGTCCTCTGAAATACCTGACTCTTAGGTCACCCTCTAGGGTGAGTTTGCTCCACTTACCTAAGCAACTCTTAGGTAAGAGTCTAACTAGTTTGTGTGCTAGTGAGATGCAGTTTTAAACATTAATTCTTTTAAAGCTCGTCTGTTTATCTGCCATTCAGAGAGCTGAAGTAGACCAGCCTAAAAAGGTGTTAGAACACATGCTATAGTCAGAGCTAGGTTAGGATTTCTTTTTCCATCTTGTGCAATTTTTCAGTTTCTATTTTATTTTGTTTCTCACTCTATCAGTGTGAATGAAAGTTCTTTCCAAATATTAAAGACAGTGTGAGAAAAAGAAGCTTGACAGTTCTTCAAATCCCTTTCTAAAACTGAGATGAAATTTAATCCTTGACCTGCAGTGACTGCCTTTAACTGTTAGGCTATCAAGGAAGAAGATAATGTTTCTTATAGCAGAAATTCAAGCCTCGTTGGAATGGAAATGTGTATAATTGAGGAAGGTGTAGGTTTTAGCAAGTTGATGCCTTCTGGTTGAGAGTAGGTGTGAGACAGTGGGTAATCCTTGCAGAAGTTCAGGTGATAACACAGGATTTGGAAAGTAGGAAGGAAAATACCCAAGCAAATAAAACTAAATTTGAAATCTCTTCATATTTGGGATTTCTCTGCTTGCCAAAATTTAAATTTTGTGCCACAGGGAGGACAGCAAGGCTCTGGAGAAAGGACACTGTAGTCATATCTTCCTACTCACATTAGACATTTGCCCTCTTACAAAAGCCAGACCCAAAGAAGGTACCTGTGAAGTAAAAGGGTGAGAGTCCAAATTTAGATGGGAAACAAAGGCAGTTCCCTTTCCACTCTTGCATAAGAACTGAGACATTTCGTGTTGTTGCTGGGGGAAAAAAATAGAAGGATGTGGACTTCAGCTGCATGATTCACTCTTCCAAGGCTCACTTGCTGGTTCTTTCCTTCCTTCCTCACCAGTAGCTTTGAAAGTCAGGGATAACAAGATTATTTGCTTGCATGTACCATGGCTCCCATTGGTGCATGGTTTACTCTTATACACATGGGTGTAAGAGGGAGGAGGAGGAGGTGTGGATGGAATCAGCTCCAAGTACTTCTCCCTCTCCCTTAGTACTGTTCTTCCAATTCCTTTGACTTTGATTTTCTAAATGAACATTAACGACTTAATGCCTTTTGGTGTTTGTTTTTCTTTCATTTCTCCTTAGGTTCGAAAGTGTTAGTGACTTTACCTCAGAGCTGGAAGACAGTGATGATCCAACAGCTTATGTCACCAATTTGACATACTACCACCTGGTTCCATTTGAGACTGACATTCTGGACTGAGACTGCTCAAGGATGCAGTCAGCCAGCATCCAGCCAACCTCTTCATCTATAGGCTCTGCTATCTCTGGCATTGCAACTCTGTGAATAAGGCTGTGCAGACAAAACCAACAGCAGAGAAGCTGCAGCAAGTACGCCACAAAGCTGATTTTGTAGTGTGGTCCTCCGTTGTGTATTATGGAGACATCTTGTAAGAAGGTTACTGCTTTGCTGTTGACAACAAAATCATTTTCTGTGAAAGCAAAGCAACAGAGGCCTCTTAGGGCTCAAGGAAATCTCTACCGTGTCTGTGGGAACTGCCACTCTGATGCAGCCATCAGAAACTTGTGCTGTGGTACTCTGTCAGCCGTGCTCCTCGGCTTGCAGTGCAGTTTGAGGCTTCCTCTTTTAGGATACCAGCAGAAACTTCCCCAGATGGTGTGACCACGCTTTTTATGATGTGCAAGCAAGAAAACAAGCAAAGCAGCTGAACTTTGTCAGTTCCCTCTGCAGTTGCTTGATGGAGGTCTTGTGGGTCGCTTTTTGCTCAGCTACTGGTTGATTGGTGCCTTACACGAGATGTCAGAAATACCATTGAGTGCCTCCAGGAAACAGAACACATGAGCTGATGGCTTTACTTCTTTTAATCATGGGCTTTTATATAATCACTGAAAGGGTGACTGCTCCTTCCTGGAATAGTAAAGCAGGCAGCAGCTGGCATTGCAATGGACTGTGCATGATGTTTGGGTACCCATACAATTTCAGAACTCTGGAAAGCTGATGGGAAAGCTGACCTGCTCTGCTAAGAAGCGTCAAGGCTATGGCAGGCACTTTGATACAACTTTTTTTTTTATGAGGACCAGCATATGTGAATGGTGCTTACAGTTGTTTACATCAGAGAAATAATTCCCTATGCATATTTCTTCCCAGGGTTGGGAAGGAAGACAATAAGATTTATGTTGTATTTGTACTGAAAAAGACTGATAAGCTGTATTGTGTCTACAGTGGTAGGAAAAACACTTGCTCCACTGCCAACCAGTCTCAAGGAGTCTGTCTAGCTTTCCAAGATCTGCCTGGAGGGGTCGTGTAATGCCATGGATTTCAGCAGAGATAGGACAGTGGGAGCAAGAGTGGGATTGGACTCTGCAGCCTCTTGACTAGTGTGATGTTAAAGTCTCCTCAGAGTCTTTCTCTAGCAGAGCACTCTGAATTCCTTGCTCTCACTATGAGTGCTCAACACTTGCCAACATGACCTTTCATTGAGCTTTTTGCGAACCATTTGCAAATCTGAATTTGAAGGGATTGAAATGGGAAGGGATACATTTTGGATGGGTTTCTTGGAAAAGAGGCTTGCTTGGTCCCGAAAAAGCTGATACAACTCCCTTCTGCAGACTTTTCATTTCTATCTATAGAATAACAGTCAAACAGAATTTGTTAATGTAAATAATAAATTATTGAGGATCCTAATTCTTTTACACAGTATGTTTTTAAAATATATTTTAATGAAATAAAATAAAATAAAACTCACCTTCAGTACACTTCTACTGCTTAAAACAGTGGTTTCATTTTTTTCCTTTTCATTTGAGGGCACTTTCCCAGACATGTCTAATCCTCTTTTTTTTTCTTATAATTTTGGAAACATGATGAGTTTTAGAAATTTATGTGCTCCATGTGCTACTCATACTGTAGACATGGTGTGTATCCATATGGAACCTCTCTGCCTAGCTGTTGATCTTGTGTCTAGGTGTTTGTGGTTTAATGCCATTTGGTTTAGTGGAGGAATTCTGCATTTTCATGACCATCAGTGAAATCAAACCTGGCAATTATTTTTTTTGAAAATAAAGCAGATTGTAAAGGTAAATTGTAAAGGTAAATTTCTAGAATAGGGATATGTTATCACTCATGCAAAGGCTTTCTGAGCAACCTGTTGAATTAGAATCGGGAATGGTTTTATTTGTTTATTTGTTTTACTCTCATTAGTTTTAACTCTTCTGTCAGTTCTTCTAGTTAACCATGGTGAAGTAGAAATAGCATCTAGTAGATGTGTGCATTGGAGTGGGTGTTGGACTATTTTATTTCAATTCCTGACCTTGCTGTCAGCCTACCATGTTTCTTTGGTCTCCCTATCACTGAGTTTTCCTTGAGTAATATTTTGAAAAGCAGCGTCATTGGCTTGTGATGCAGTATTGTCCCCTGATTCACTTGAATTTTTCTATGAATTATTAACCACATGATAACTACTTATCTTTTAAAGCACTTTAAAATGTATGTATTAAAAAAGAAATAGATAAGTATTGCTAATTTTTAAAATGTACAACCAAATTCCTCATATGAAAACCAGCTGAATGCCAGAACCCTGTGAGGCCTGGTGGAAGCAGGGGCTCCCATGGGGCTGTCAGGGCAGAGCTGGGCAGCCAGGGGCTGTCCCACCACCCTGCCAGGAGCAGGGAACCAGGGCAGCCTCAGGCATCAGGGACCTCCCTGAGGATGAGGATGGGCCAAGGACAGGCCAGGACATGGGTCTGCTCTAAGGAGTGTGAAAACAGCCTTGCTGCAGTGTTCCTGGCGCTGGGGGGGCTCACATGGTGACCTGCGCCATGGGCAGGTGTGGGAAACCCAGGGGCTGGTAGGGACAGCCAGACCTGTGGGTGCCCTTGGGGCCCAGATGCTGAATGCTCAGGATTTTTGTCCTGCATGTTTTGGAATTATTTTTTTTTAATTTATTTTTGCCATGTACCCTTATATTCTGGGGACCTGAAATATGGTGCAGAATTCAGTACTTGCTGTGTTATTGCATCCGAAAACAAACAAACAAACATCAGTCCTTCATCCTTTAAGAAAAATGTAGCTGAAATAAAATTTCATGGTTTAGATTTCTAAACAAGACCTCTCCCCTGTTCAGACATTGTAGCAGGCAAAATCCCACATGCCCAGATCTGCAGAACCCTGTGAAAAATATCTTGGGACGTGCAAAGTGCTGCCATCCAACTGGGTGATTGGTCTGTGGTTCTTCAGAAACGTAACAGTTAACATGTAATTTTTAGAATTATTTATTGGTTAACCAATTGATGACTCTAATGGAAACAAGTGCCACAAGAATTTTATCCCCAAGCTCCTCTCCACAATGCAAAGATACTTCCTATATAAGAGCTGTGTTGTTAAAAAGCTGGTCTGTAATGACTCTGCAGCTTTGGCTGCTCCCTTTGGCACGCTGCTTGGGGGTCACATGTACTGGTCCTGGCTATTAGCTTCATGAGCAGAACAGAGTTGAAGTATGCTGGTATCTAGTGAAGGAGCAGGAGGTATGTGTCTCTTGGCAGGAGCAGTGATGACAAAATAATTCGGTTTTTATTTTTCGAGTCATGAAATATGCTGGCATTATGATGTTGCCAAGTCTTACAAGAGTTAGGGAAGAGAAAGTGTATCCCACTATGCTATGTTTTGTCCACCAGTCTATTATTTTTTTGTTACATCAAATACTTTTTAAAAGCTCGGTCTTGGATTCCAAGGCCATTCTTTATAACAGCAATAATCTATAGCTCAGCAACAAACTAAAAAAAAAAAAAGAAAAAACAAAAGAACATTTTCTAATGGCTTACTGTAATAATATCCATTCCTGTTCCAGTCAGCCATCTCTGAACTCCATTTCCCACACATACATAAATTTTCAGGCTATTTTACCTATCATCTTTCATCAGTGTAACTGCTTTCTTATGGAAATGTTCACACCCTGAAGTGCAGTTCCCAAGTTTTATAGCACACAGAGCATTCCCATTTTCAGTGCTGTCAGGTAATTTCTTCTAGCTCTAAAACCATTCTCATTTTAATTAACTTTGTTAGTAATACATGCTTTGGGAGATTCAGGTAAGGGCAAAATACCAAGGTAATATACATAATATATCTAGATTCAACAAATGGAGAATTTGCATTTACCTAAAAGTCCATAGCAGTAGTGAAGATATGGAAATTACTGGGATGCATTTACTATTGAACTGTATGAAGTCAAACTTTCTGGGCTTTCCCAATCCCTGTTATCATCTCTATATTTCTTACAAATGATGTATATAACTCTACCATACCCTGTTGATAGAAAGAACAACTTGAACTTCGGTGTCACAGAACAGGAGATGGGACTCTAAGACGTGGCTAAGACAGAATTTTTCAGGGATTAGTTTTTGTCCTGGCAGAACATCTAGCAGGCATTGCGCCATAGTAGAGGAGTTGCTACAGACTTGGTTGTTGTTCTTCACTTTAAAGGCTGCTGTTAGGGGAACCTGCCCAGGTAAGTATTTGGAGAAAAGCTCCCTATTCTCCAAAGATACCTTGTCTAACTCTGCAGAGTAGTAAAATTAATTTTCTGTTGTCTTGTGAGGCTACCTACGTGTCTGAACTGGAGATCTGGCTGGTATGAGATTGTCTCTCAGCTGCACAAGGGCCCACTACCTCCAGAAAGTACTGGATTACACCTCAGCCCCAGCCTGGGCTGCGGAGGTGCCTTCAACACCCATCTTCTAGTCCTCAAATTCTCTTAAACAATTTTTAGAAACTTTTAGATAGAAATGACAGCTGATATACTGGCGAGAAGAAAATCCAAATGTGAACACTGAATTTTGATTAAAAGCATCCCAGCATCAGCTCTGTGTGTGTTTTTTCAAAACTTCAAAAAATAAAAGTTATTAATTAAAATCTTTTACAGCATATGTTGGTGCTCCATGTAAAACCTTGGATGTCCCTCTGCTACAGCTGTTTCTGACACAATCTGGCAAAAACACTTGGTGGGAGTTGCAATGTGTGTGTTTATAGGGCTCTGTGAACCACTGAGTCTCCTTTGGCTGCCCTGGCATCTGACAGGAGGCTCTCAACTCCTTGGAGGCACTTGGTCCTCCCTACAAATCTCTTTGCAGTAACCTTAAAATGCCTCCAGTGTTCTGGGGGGCTCCAAGCAACTTTAATAATTTCCATTAGTAAGTGACTTCATTTAGCATTGTAGTTTAGTTTGGAAACCATCTGCAAGTAATCTTGTTTCGCTGTATCACCTTGTACCAGGCAGGCTGGAAACAGAAATAATTACATATACCAGAAGCTGACTTTGTCATGTAAAATGAAAAAAAAACATCAGCACCACCACCAGCAAAACAACAATTGTCCATTTTTTCCCTTGTCGCCATTAAAATTAAGTTGAACAGATTCCATGACTTTTGAATGAACATGCACTCATTTCAAAAAAGAAATTTCCTGATTTTTGCCAAGTTTCCTTTTGTCTCATGGCAGCTGGCTTCAGCAGTTTAGCACAGTGACACATGCTACATTCAACCATCTTGAAGTGACCTTCAGACAGAAAAACAACCAGTGGGTGTATGTGGAAGGACGGGTCAGAAAGCACTGGGATGGCTTGGAAGGAGAGGGACTGATAAATAAGGGAAGGATTGCAATGCAAACAGAGGAGATCTCCAGAAATAGTTTCAGTCTTAAAGCTGCAATAGTTCATCTTTGTCAGAGTGGAGCTGGGCTTGTGTGCTCACGTATTGGCAGTGTCCAGGTACTGAATCATGCAGATCCTCACCCACCATTCTGCAAGGAACAGTATTAGCCCCAGCTGGTTTTGTTGAAAGGAGATGTCTGATCAGGTGCCTTTGCATAAGGTGAATGTGCTGAACTTTTGGAAACAGACATTTTACAACAACAAAATTTATTATGATTGCTTCCTTAAAGCACCGCTCAGATCATGTAGAGGGTTTAGTAATTCCGTTTCAATTAGTTCCCCATGCACCTTATAGTGTATACTTCATGTCTATATGTGTAGGATTAAATATGCAGGTGGCTGCAGGTGAGGGTGCTCACAGCTTGGATTGCCTTGAC